TAGTTAAAGTACTTCTTTATCCATTGTAAAAATTGTATCCCGTTACTTTAAAATGTAAATACAGCCCTTACATACTTGTCCCCCAAAACCATTTTCATGGGTAATTTACGGGTAAATAGCGTCGTCTTAAGTAAATTATTTGTAGCTTGGACCCACTACATTTTATATACATTTTAAAACGGTATTTACATAGACAATAACATTTACAAATTGTCTTTAATATTCCAGGGAACAACCATTTTAATGAGTTTACATTCGATACATCATAATCGTTCAAGATGGGATGACCCTGAAGTGTTCCGACCAGAAAGATTTATTGATGATGATGGTGACATAAAATCGGGTGATAAAATGTATTTCTTTGGTTTTGGTAAGCATCTTAAATGCAAAGAAACATTGTAAGCCAGGCTTTTATTAACATTTTTATATTAATTTAAGGTAAACGAAGATGTCCCGGTGAAGCTTTGGCTCAGCGGTTCGTCACGTTAGTATTTGCAAATTTAGTACATGATTTCGAAATCGAAATAGAAGAGTTACCAAAAGGAGTTAACTGTGGCATACTTATGACCCCGAAACCGTATAAAATAAAATTGTCTAAAAGAAAATAATTATAATTTATGTATTTTGTTTTTATTTATTTTGACTTCTAACTTCTAGGTATGACGTTCAACATCTTGACTTTTCTTTCTCAAAAAAAAAATTGTATTCACGGTCATATGTCAGGGGTATACTAAATCGTGATAAACCAATATTATGTGCTTAATTGTTTTAGTAAAGATAAGGGCTTGTCCATACCAACTAAAGTAGACTGTTATCGACTTCAGGACGTCAGCATGTATTATGTAGTCAGTTCTTCCAAACGTTCACAAAGCTTCTTTCAAGTAAATTTAATTCCTAACAATATAGTTAGATCAGTCATTTTACTGGATTCTGATAAGAAAAATTCTAGGTAAAATTAATATATTTTTTTTGGTTCTTATTACAAAAAAACAGTTAACATTTTGTTGTGCAGTATTATTTTCAAGTTTTCTTTGCTTTTTAATCTGTTTTTATATAAACAAAATAAACTAAAGAAAAAAACGTTCAATGTTTTAACATTTAATACATTTGATATATTTCTATAAAAACCATTTTTAGTAGGACATAGGGTGAAAGGTCTATGATATCGAATTTCCATTTTTAAAAATTCAGCTATTAAAAATAAAATTATTCTATTTTTAAATAATTTGTATTTTCTCACGCCTACAATCTAAACAGTTTCATTACGGATGACAATCGCTTAATTAAAAAATGTTTTAAGTACATTTTTAGGAAAAGTGTGTATACTGTACCTACAATCGCATAAACTTACAGAAAATAAAATTAATTTTTAGACAGTTAAACAATCAATTTAGAACTTAGATATGTAAAAATGTTAAATTTATTACTAAATAAATAATGATGCAGTACCTAATAACAAATGTTGGTATGTTTTGGAGGATTGTATAAAAACAATGAGCTAGGATTAAGTACTGGAAGACATGATATTTGATGCAACAGGCGTACATCGAGGCCAAGACGTAGGTTCATACTGAATAACACTATACCAGGAATTGCAAAAATGCCTAGGAATTCAATGTAAATGTTAATTAAAATCTTTCTAAACTCATTTAGGCTCTTAATAAATGTCAGCAACCAATCGGGAACAGCCACCAAGTAAGGTTTTTAATTTTTACCGAAATTCTGAGGGAGCTTTCAGTTTTTAAAATGTCCAAACTTCTCCAGTCCACTTTTATTGCATCACCGCGTAACAATTATATGCATGATATTTTGCTCAACAAGTACAAAAAAACAACTGTAATAATAAGTTTTTACTAAAAAACTTTTTGTTTAAGTTTAAGGTAAGTTCGGCTGATAACAGCAAAACTAGTCATAATTATTACTGATTGATAGTTTACAATTACTGAACTACAGCGCCGACATTTTTAACACGTGTCGAGTACACTTAACTACATAAAGGGTGCATATTTCAGATGTCGACATTTGATATACCTACCGCACAGACGAACACATACATGCACCCACGATTCTCAAATAATGTTTGTTTTTTCCCAGAAAACAAAAAATTTTGTGTAGAACAAAGAATACAAGATTAATTTAATTGTTTTTTGTAAAATGGAACATTTTTGAACAAATTAATAAATAGTATAAACCGTGATCCAGTTGATCTTTAAAATCTTCATACATAGTGGATACACCTTTAGTGTCCTATTTAATGTGATAAGGAGACAAACAAAACTTGTTAGAATTTTCAAAGTATTCAAATACTAAATAATTATTATCAGAATGAAATCAATTTAATTATATCAATTAACTTTGAGTCTTGATTATTTAATAACTTAGAAATTATGAAAAAATATACTAAAAAAAATATTTTTTGTAGTATATATAATTTAACTCATAAATTTGTATTTATCACAAATCACAATTTACAAAACATTTTGACAGGTCGTTAACCAATTTTGGATAACTATTTTTGAAGTTAGCGAAGTTTCAAGTTAAGGGAGAAAAGGAGAAAAGGTGGAGTGTATTATTATTTTTAATTGTGCGTTCTTTCCAACCGCACTTCCACACCCTCGTTAAAAAGATAAGAAGATAGTACTTCAGTTAAAGTGGATTAAAAAAATAATTATAAACGAGTTCGCGGAATCTCAAGGTTAAGACACAAAATATTTGATGTGAGGCCCATTCCACATCGTAATACCATAATATTTTAATATGTCACGTTGTTCCAAATGTGAGAATAGCGCACGATGAACCATTGAAAATAACTATACGAAAACCACGACTGTACACAATATTTTAATATCAAGACAAACAATTACCCTATATTAACCACCACATCGATCGTATGTGGTGGTTAATATACGGCTCTGCTTACTTATAGGAATTACATTACTTATAAATTTAAGTTTATTGAATTGACTATACGAACAGACAGATGTACAGTGTGTACGATACTGTGGTACAGCGTAATGAGATAGGAGTCCCCTTCCTGCGGACTTCTTTTGAATAATTACTCAACGGCGCCTGGATAAAAAAGATATTGGCCATTGGGGAAAGAACGCACGCTTTACAGGCTGGTAGCCAATTTATATCGCGTAAAATTTCTCTGTTTAGTTCTACGACGGTCACCGCGTACCGCATGTTGTCCGACGACCACAGTTGTGAGTCTTATATATGATTATTGTTAATAGTACTATTTCACCATGGCGCAATCCATGCTCTGGTATTTAGTATGTCTTGTCATAGGCGCAGTGCTGCTAGCCGTTTACTTAACGTGTAGGAAACCGAAAAACTATCCTCCAGGTAACACGATATTTTCCGTGTTCTAGTATTTTTTATTTTTTATTACATCGTTCATCCATTAAAATAGGTACTATCTATGCTATCAATTAATTTAATTAAACTTAATTTAAATGCGTATTTTGTTTTTTATACGAACATGATAATTATCTCTCTTATTTAGCTCTGAATTAAAGTTAAATAACGTTATTTTAAACATTTTACCTTGTTAAGTTAATTTTTAGTTTTTATTATTTTAATAAAAAATATGTTCATAAAAATTTTTAAAATATAAAAACTATTTAACTGTAGCTTAACTTAATTTTTTTCGAATAACTTTAAATTTATTTGAAAACAGCTGTTTGAAAGTTTATAACAAATAGGGTTCCACTATTTACACATCTTACGACTACTCCCAAATTAAATACATTGACTGTTCTTCCAACGTTTCGGAATACTTGCAAATTCCTAGTAAAATGATAACCTGGCGAAAAAATTATCAATTAAAAGTTTTCGTTGAATTACTTAAATTGTAGCTTAAAATTAGATTGTGCAAAAAAAGACCATACTAAACCAACATTTCTTTGTCACAAACTATGTGACAAAACTATGTTAATTATATTTAAAATAAATAATAAATTCTACTTGTTACGATAGGTGTTGTTGAAGGTTTTGATAACTCTTAAGCACTGAATATATATTTTAATAGTAAAGATAATTTAAATGTTAATACACAAAGAAAGTAAATTGTGGAGTTAGACTATCATTTATGTTATTTAAATACATTTTTAAAACCATTTGTTTGAAATACCACCAACGGTGAAAAAATCAAAATTTATTACTGGGTTAGGATTAGTATCATACATGCGTTTATAGAGAATCAATCTAGTCGACTTGCCTCAGTGGTCCAGATATATTTGTAATTTAGATTAGAGTAGGTTAGAACTTATAACGGGACAACTATTATTATTTAGTATTCATATAGAAAAATATTGACAAATTTATTTAACATTCCATATTGTAAGTTAGAACTAAAAACTTCTAGAAAGGGATAGACTAGTTTAGCATAGCAATAACATGAGTGTATACTCATTAAAACATAATAGACTAATAATTGTACGTCTTATGAATTAACATACTTTAAATGAACACAATTTATGTCATCAGAGCGCAATTAATTTCTATGCGATCTTTAAGCTATCTTAATTATTCCCCTTATTTACGTAATGCAGTTTAATTTCATTCGCATACTTATCGAACTAATAATATGTAATTGGCCGACCGGGCGCTGCGCATGTATTTCCCAGATTTAATCAATTTGGAAAGATAATCGTACTTATTCGACATTCGTTTTGAATAATAAAAAATAAAATAATTAGTTTCTTTCATTATTATATAACTTCCCAATTAACTAATCTAAGCAAAACTATACCGCGTAAGCCTTAACTATTACGTCACTTCTTCTGTTTTTTTAACACATAAGCTAATCGTACAAATATGACTAGCTTAAATAAATTAAATAGATTTTAAATATCTAATATTATTTCTCGAGCTTTATTAAGCATAGAAGTAAGTGAGTTTGGAACCACAACAATAATTAAAACAAAATGATCTTAAAACAGTAAAAGTAAATAGTAAGGCATTATTTATAATCTTCATGAATGTTTTTTTCGCAGGTCCCCCATGGATGCCATTTGTAGGGAATACATATCAGCTAGCCAACCTTTCTGCAACTTCAGGGGGGCAGTACAAAGCATTCGAAAAACTCCGACTTCGCTACAATTCCGATGTAATTGGATTAAAATTGGGCTGTGAATACGTGGTGGTCGTGTTTGGGGATGCTTTAATTAGTGATACTTTACACCGAGAGGGGCCGTTTTTGGGACGTCCTGATAATTTTTTTATGCGACTTCGTACAATGGGCGAGCGCAGGGGTAAGTAAAAACGTTTAAGAGGACCGTCACACACCCGTTATTTTCTTCGAAAAACCCGCCTTGCGCGGATTAATTTTACAAAGGCTATAATCAAAACTAAGAAACCAAATTTTTACATATTATAGATAACAACATTGTCTGTGTTATACCATCGCTCTTTTTTAAATATTTCAACCGGTTAATGAATAATTAATTAATTAAGAAAGGACTTTTTTAAAAATGATATAGCGTTGATTGTATTAGGTATATCGAAAAAATACGAATGATGGATCACAGATAATTTTGTCATAAATAATACGTATGAACTTCTTTGCTTAACTATGTATGAAGCCTGAGAAAAATTAATCCGCGCAAAGCAGTTTTGATGTCAAACAAATTGTATTTTATCCTATAGAAATGACTGTGATTGTTTGACAAAAAAATTGGCAATTAATAAAATATCCTCATTACTGTATAAATAAGTATACATTATAGTTCAAACGCCAAATTAAAATTTTTCGAAAAATTGCCTATACTTTACTCCTTAGAAATGGCTGGTGCGGCGTCCTCTTAAACAAAAAACAAAACTATAAACTCTATAAGAAACAGAGCACAAAGTATTCTAGGGAATTGCATGCGGTCGGGTTTTTTGAAGTTTTAGACCAAAAAGCCAGACATAATTTCGACTACTTAGGATGGTCCGATAGGAACTTAACTTGGTTATGTAGAACTGTTTACTACAGTTTTGGTATTTGTATGTAAAAAAATCGGTTTTAAAATAAAAAAATTGCTAATTTAGTTTATTTGATTACAAAAAATGTAAAAATGAAAATTGGCTTCCTACATAACACAGTAATGTAGCCAAAGAACTCTCTTTACTGAATTGTAATATTGAACCATGCTACGCAGTCGAAATTTTGTCTGGCCTTTTGGTCTACAATAAACTAAAATCATAGAATAAATTATTTAAATTAAAAATAATATCTTGAAGCTTATACAAATTAACCAGTAAATTAATTTACAAGGTCGAAATCTATTAAAAATATTTTTTTCTTAAATATTGTCTATAAAAAACTCTTTAAAAACAGGACCGTGTAATTCCCTAATGTCTATGATATCACTTAGACTTAGCAATTAAGGCCCATAGATTATACTATAGATGAACATGATACAATATTAGACAATAATAAAGTTTTAATCAATTTCATTTTCTTCCAGAGCTCCTACAAATATTTAAACTTAAACGTTAACGTATAAATGTAATCAACATTTTAGATTAAGAATAGTTTAAAACGTATCGTGGAGTTATGTAGAGTAATGGGCGCAAATACAAGTAAAACTAACTCCGCCTATCCTCCAGTACTACATTTTGAACTTCAATACCTTTAAAAGTAATTATTTAGAACTGGTTATAGATTAGTCAAAATGTTCATCAATTTATTTTTAATCTAAAAAGTTATTAAATATATACGTTACTATATGAAATTTTAATAAAGCTCTGGAAATTACTAAAATAGGTAAATGTTTAGTAATTATTTCATTACGAAAATAATGACAAAACTACAATTATTTTCCTAGAAAATTAGTGTTTTTAGATTAAATTACCTTGTTCACCCTTGGTATTTAAGATATTCATTTCATCTAACTTAAAATGTACAAAAACAGGCATCACGATGACCGATGGAGACTTGTGGAAAGTGCACCGAGCGTTTGTGGTTAAGCATCTCAAGTCACTAGGACTGGGACAGCGGAGAACTGACGAAATGATACGTGACGAGTACGAACAAATGACACGAGGGCTAATGGAAGAGGCCGGAAGTATCACACCGAGTCCGCACTTGCAATCGGCTATTATGAATATATTATGGGAGTTTATAGCCGGCACAAAATTCGATGAACCTAAGATATTGCAGCTAATGAGTAGGCGTAGTGCAGCTTTTGGTATGGCTGGCGGATTACTCAATCAAATGCCTTGGTTAAGACACGTGGCACCCGCTAAATCAGGTTATTCGCTCATCATGGACATCAACCAACAGCTGTTCTCGATAATATCGGTAAGTACTGTGAGGACCTTGATGTAGATGGAAACTTGCGTTATTTTTACTCTTTAAATTTACCTAGCGTCTGTGCATTAGGAAAAAATTGAAGAACATAAAAAAACTTTGACAGACAATATCAGGGATTTCATTGATGCGTATCTCCTACGAATGCAACAAGAAGATAAATCCAACACAACATTTACAGGTCAGTAGAGACTTGATACCGTGGCGTATTTTGGACGGGAGATGCCCTTTTCTTAAAAATTCCAGTAAATCCTCCAGTAAAGCAATTCCTAACCATCGTCCATATTGGGAAATTACACGTAAATAAGATAGAAAACTATAGTGTGAAATAAACGAAATCTAGTTCATCGTGATAGAACACTGAATACTCGATACATTTTTCAAAATACGCTACTGACGACTTATGCATTATAATGGGACATTTTGACTATTTATTAGAAAATTAATACCGTTAATCTATTTCAGAGAAACAGTTAATAGCCGTTTTTCTAGATCTATTCATAGCTGGTTCGAAAACCACGAGTAGTACGTTAGATTTTGCTATACTTGCCATGGCCAAGTGGCCTGATGTACAGACTAAAGTTCGAGCTACTCTGGATGAGATCCAACCACCAGGAATATTTTTAACAGCCGAAGAAACACTTAGGTAAGTCGTCATTGATCAATGCAAGGATCCAATATTCAATAGTAATTTGAATCGATTTCAAATAGGAACAGATACTTAAAAGCCGTGTTGTTAGAATCAAAAAGGATAAGTCACGTCACGCCCACTATTGGCCCAAGAAGAGTATTGAACAATACAAAAATTGATGCATATGACATACCAAAGGTATATAATTTATACTAGTATAAAAACAAAATTTCTTAACACAGTTTCTAACACAGTCTCATCATTTGTATGTATATTTAAGTCTGATATCAGTAGCTATGTCACTCTTTGCTTTGTAACGATTAGATAATTTTATGCTTGAAATATAGTACAGACAATTTATATATTCTTACCTATCCTTAAATTCTATTAGCTAATATATGTATTGTATAACTAATTCAATTATTACTCAAATGATTGGAACTTGGTAAACTTTCTTTCAGAAAATTGTGTAACATTAACCATAAGTATGACAAATATCTGAAAGAGCTGTTAAAATCTCTTTATTATGACTTTATTCTATTATTGTTACATTATTTATGGAGTAGCGTTTATATAATTTTGATATGTATAACTAAAATTTTTTTTATAAACAAATGGAAAAAGGAAAAATAAAATAAATCTTTAAGAATGAAAAATTTTGATAGTGCTTAAGTATCAAAAAACTAATGCTACACCGTAGTTAAAGTACTTCTTTATCCATTGTAAAAATTGTATCCCGTTACTCTAAAATGTAAATACAGCCCTTACATACTTGTCCCCCAAAACCATTTTCACGGATAATTTACGGGTAGATAGCGTCGTCTTAAGTAAATAATTCGTAGCTTGGACCCTCTACATTTTAAATACATTTTAAAACGGTATTTACAAAGACGATTACATATACAATTTTGTTTTTAATATTAAAGGGAACAACCATTTTAATGAGCTTACACTCGATACATCATAATCGTTCAAGATGGGATGACCCTGAAGTGTTCCGACCAGAAAGATTTATTGAAGAGGATGGTGACATAAAATCGGGTGATAATATGTATTTCTTTGGTTTTGGTAAGATCTTAAATGCAAAGAAACATTGTAAGCCAGGCTTTTATTAACATTTTTATATTAATTTAAGGTAAACGAAGATGTCCCGGTGAAGCTTTGGCTCAGCGGTTCGTCACATTAGTATTTGCAAATTTAGTACATGATTTCGAAATCAAAATAGAAGAGTTACCAAAAGGAGTTAACTGTGGCATCCTTTTGACCCCGAAACCGTATAAAATAAAGCTGTCTAAAAGAAAATAATTACAATTTATGTAATTTGTTTTTATTTATTTTGACTTCTAAAGTATGACGTTCAACATCTCGACTTTTTCAACAAAAAAAATAATACCTATTCACGGTCATCTGTTAGAGTTAGATTAAAGCGTTTCCGTTTTTAAAAACGTGATAAACTAATATTATCTACATAATTGTTTTAATAAAAATGAGTATGACAATTAAAATTCAATATTTTAATAAGATGAATTAAAAATGTTTATTATAAAAATTTCGTTATCGGGTATTATCATATTATTATTTCTTCATGATATTTTTTTAAATATTCTTCTATGTCATACCTAACAACTCTCCTGTCTCATTTTAACAATGACGATTTTCGGACCTCTCTCTCTACTATCAGTCTATTTCTTTATAGGTCTATGGTTCTTGCTACCAATAGAGAAGATTGAAGCAGCCACTTACCGCCATCTTGGTGGAAATTAGAACCTTATCACGCGAGAATAGTATATGTTTATAAAAATCACATATATATATATATATATATATATATATATATATATATATAATATTGATATAATAATATATACAGTTATATATTATAAGCATTGATAACACATATATATATATATATATAATATTGATATAATAATATATACAGATATATATTATAAGCATTGATAACACTCTGACCGATCTCAAGTAAACTTGATGACAAATTCATAACTGTTTTTAGATAGCTTATCGGATCACTGGTTCGGCCTGTGCGATGGACAAAAAATAATGTGTTTGGGCTGAAAAAATGGTCGGTATCCAGAGGCCTTAATTAAGGATAAAACACTTGTTATATCTTGAAATAATTGACATTTTGTAGTAATTCTTTTTGAAAACATCTTTGTTTATGTTTTTTTTACAATATTATGAAATTTCTAAATTTATTAAATTACCTATTTTAGTATTTTCTAGAGGTCTATACATTTTGTAAGCTTTGTAAAAAGTAAACTATACAGTGTGATTCGTTAAGGATAAAACACTAATTTTCTCGAAAAATATTAGTATTTTGGGTTATTTTTTTCCCTAAAATTGTTAGGGACATAAAGTCTTAAATTTTTTAATACAGCATTTTTATTTTCATTCTTAATGTATCTACTTAATTTTTTCAAATGAAAACACCATTTTTTGATTTAATATAGTCGTTTTTATAAAAAAGAAACTAAAAATAACTTTTAAGGGATACGTTTCAAATGTTGTCAAGATCTGGAAAAAAACAATTTTCAAATAACATTAAATTTCCTACAAAAACTACAAAATTGTAATTATTAATAGAAATGAGTGACTAATTATACCTAATGAATCACTTTAATGTATGATAATACTAGTAAAAATCATTTTCAGCTTACGCCTGTTTGAAAACTTGTTTTGGAATAAACCCAAATAGTAATTTGACAATGAATCAGTTTTATAAGTTAGTGGAACCTACTGTCACTCATATAAAATTAATAACTGGGTACTTCGTGACATATCCAGGGGATTGGCTAAAATTTGGTAATTATTACGTATACTTAGTTTACGGTTATAATTTCTTAGCTTCGATGCGAAGCTGTGAAAATGTTTGTCTAAAAAAGTAGGAATTTAATTTGCATTTATAAATATTTCTTCAAATAATATTTCTTGTCATTTTTTCCTTAAACATGATAAAAATGTATCATAAGATTCATTTTTTATACATTTTCTCAAAGGTAAGAATGTCCAAATTGAATAAAAAAAATAAAAAACAGCTTAAAAAGATAACCTTGGTTATATATACCTAATCAAATGATAACTTTCCTTAGACATATACTAAATAATATTATGTTGTTTATGAAATATTGGATATTAAAATCCTTCTATAATAACAGTTTATCTATTTAGTTTAAATTTTTAATAGGTGTATTCGGTCTATATATTCATCACGGATCAAAGAGAATGCAATCTGTCGTATAATATAACCAAATTTGTTGTATTAGTTACAATTTGTTAATAATAACTCAATTTTAATTTTTTATAAAAATGGAGACCTATTGGCTATTTTAATGTAGGTACTTCCCCAGAAAATAACTAATTTTTTGATAACTATTAGGTGATCAAAGGTGGTGATGATCATATTTAAAAGAAGAAAAATATCTATATTTAAATACTAGTTTTTTATTAGTTCATTAATGAGTAGTCTTCTAATTAACCTAAATTTCTCTTCAATTGTTGTTAATTAAAAATACATCCAATAACACGATTAATCTTTTATTTTATTAACATTTTAAATATTATTTTAAGCAAATAATTCTATAATTAATTGTTCTTGCCATCATTTACTGCATACACCGCAAAAAGAAAATTAATACAAGGGATGTAAATTTTAATACAAGTTGAGTTTAAGTAAAAGAGTAGTAGTATTTTTGTACAATTTCGTCACTTTTTCATTTTTCTGGGGTACTGTGCAATGTGCTACTGGTATTTATATTTTAATAATTTATATAGGTACCTTTATTTTTAAATAAAAATTACTTTTTTTTGTTGTTGTAGATAATATAGATGTTGATCTATTTACATTACTTATAAGACACATTTGCATTGGAACTGGGCGGAATCCAGTTCACTTTATTAAACAGTTTTTGCCAGGACTAATAGGGGACCCTAACTTAGTCATACGTCGAGAAGCACTAAAAATGGCTGAAGGATGCCTAAAAGATCTAGAATAGTACCTAACATATTATATATTTATCCTAATTACAAAAAAATTGATCATTTTATTTGAGTTAAATTTTTAATTTATTTATTATTCTACTCTTTGTAAAATTATCAAATGTTAACTAGAAAACAAGATATATAAGATAAGGTAGGTTAAAAACATACTTTTAAGTATTATTTTTGGTTTTATACTAAATTTGTATTCCCTATAATATTTGTAACAATATATCATACTATATCGGTACTATCATGCAAGCAAACTCAAACGAGCAGAAACACAAATAATAAAACAAGACATGATAAAAAAACACCTTATTTTCTATAAAGAATACAAAATAGTAAAACTATAAAAATTGTATTTGTAAAATAGTAAATACAACAGTTCTCTTAACATAAAAACTTGAAAAATGTGTGATGCAAATAAGCACTTCGACCTTGGGTTGAAAGTTGGCCCCAAGTATTTAGAACCTATTTTTGACCCAAGCACTTAACTCACTTAACACTCAATATCTTTATTGAGTAAGTCATATTTCATCCATTCTCTATAAATAAAATATACAGAGAGATTATTGTGATATATATATATATAACAACAGTTGTAAATAATGTAATTTATTTTATTACTCATAGTTAGATTTAATTGTTGGCACGTGTCTGTACATTTTTAATTTAAACTTAATAATTTATATAAAGAACACCTGAGTATAATATAGACACAATGTGTACTCGTTTTGTAAACTTCTAATTTGGTATAAACCATGTTTCTATATTTTTTTTATAAAAACTATACATATTATATACATATACAGAGTGATCCATCTGATGTAAAACACTTATTATCCCGTAAAATATGAATTTTTCGAATATTTTTTTTTCTGTGCTTGTAGGTACTATATTTTTTAATACTTGAAAACTATACTTTCATTCCTTATACGTAAAACAAGTATAGACATTGTTTTTCAACTGTCAATAAGAATCCATTTTAACTGCGAAGTATAAATTACATTTAAGAGTATATGACAGGCAAAATTTGAACTAATTTAAAGTACATTAATGAAATAAAAATTTATTAACGAGATTTTTTATTATTTTTTATGGTAGGCAATGTTAAATTCTGAAGATGTTTCATAAAACAAACTAATTAAAAGTAAAAACCATTATTGTGCAAAACTTCAAGAGGCAAAGAGTAGGCATTATTTGACGAAAAATTATCTAATAGCCATTTTTAATATACTTACTAATTTCAAGGTGAATATGTATTAAAATGTTCTAATTATAATACTTTTAAGTTTTAAAGTTATTTTTCTCCGAGTTATGGCGAAAGTTTAATAAAAAATTACTTTCGTAGAATTCATTTTCTGGTGTTTTCATTGGATGGGTTTTATTTTATTTTATTTTTTAATGTAAAACTTATTATTTTTACTATGGGGGCTAAAAAGCCGATTTTTTAAGAGTTATCAAAGTCCATCGGTGCAGGCCGGTTTTAATAGAGGGCCAGAAAATAAAACTTTTTAGGGCTCATAGGTTTTAAATGCTTAAATCATTATGTTGATAATCAAATATTATTTTGTAGTGGTTATTCTCACGTTACCAAGTTAGCGTATTTGGGTCAAAGTCATTATTAAATCTGAAAGTGATTTCATTACAATCAAACGCTTCGATGTTAATTGGCGAATTAGTTGGAATACTTACAGCACAGTCTAAAACCGAAATGTGCGAAAAAAATGGTCGTTGGTAAAAAGTTATACTTGTTTTAATTTTTATAATAATATGTTTATTTAGATAAAAATTCCACATTTTATAATCAAATTATTTATTGATTATTTTCGTAAATCACTCATCGTATGTTTCCAGATGAACCAAACGCTTGTAACGGCCAGAGTTTTTAAGACGGATTAAAGAATTGATTACACCAAAGTCAAAACTTTCAGTTATTTTCTTGGTATACATGATGTATACATCAATAACTCTCGTAATTTTTTGGACAGAATTTTTGACATTTTCCGAATAAATAACATTATACTTTTCGGCGATTTCTTTAACGCCAGCAATCCACGTTTCGCCGTAATCTTTCTCCATCAACGGATTGGAAAATACAGCAAAGTCGAAATTGCCGGATGACATAGTTTTTAATGAACCGAGTATAGTACTAATGTGATTATCGATACGAGACGCAACATATAACCTACAGGAACATTCGTTCAATAACGAAATTAACCGTTTTAGATGAAAATCGCCGGCCTGATCAATATAAGCGGCGAAGTCTGTCAGGAAATCGGTCATTTTGATTTTGTCGTCGTCACATAAACGATACAGGAAACTTACTTGCTGTACACATGCGTCCGGTACTAAATTTTTTTTAATATACTTAAAATACACGATGGCGACTCTCATGACGATCGCCTTTAGCACGGTTATGAATTCGGTTTGTAGTATTACGAAGGAGTTGATATATTCATGTAACGCCACGTTAACTTTGTAGGTTTCTTGATAGCATTTCAATAAACGTTCCACTATACGATTGCTGTCGACTTGAACACTAAATGTTTTTACTAGTTCGTCGACCGTGTCCCTATTAATTACCATCAGTTGGTACAACCGCAACTGTTCGAGTTCGAAACGCTTCGTTCCTTCGATGGACATTCTGTTAGTTTTTCGCTGATTTAAGAATCTTACCTTGTTGTACATTACCGTCAACGGCATGCCCGTCGTTCGTCCCTGCATAACTTCTTTGATCTTATCCGTGTAGTTAATTCCTTGGGATTGGCCGGTGTCTCGATCGTACACCTTGCATTGGTAGGACTCGGTGAACTCCTCAAGGACTTTTTCCACGGCATCGTGTGCACGTAGTATTGTCTTATTGCCGAGTCCGGTCTTAAATGCGGACTCGACGAATTCTTCCGCCCTCGAAGTGTACAAATAAAATATCCACATGACCTCCACAAGACTCGAATTTTGTTCGTCCGACGCGTAGCTGGCCATGTACGCTGCTTCTTCTGTGAACGCTATATTGCTTACTTGTTCCATTGTGAGCTGATGACCAAGCATTTCCGGTCGTGACAAGTAAATATTAGTTAAATACATGTGCACCAGTGCACTGAACAGAAAACTACATTCGACTTCTTTGTGCAAACTCTCACGATATTGTCCTAAAACCGCGATATCCATCGACATAAGCTCGTCCATGGTCAAGTCACGTCTTGCAATGTAACCTCGGTCGGGTGATAATACCTGATCGGTATAAGTTAACATGGTTGATAATAACCTTCTTTTATACAATTTAACGGCGTTATCGTCTGTGACGCTTAGACAAGCCATTGTCATGAAAACGAGAGAAATTTTGGCAATCTTCATGTTGAACGTCGGAAATTGCATATTGCTAGTTGTTCTACGGAGAGTACGTACACTATTATTTTTTTTTTACTTTGTAAAAAATGAAAATACAACGCTAGGTATTGTTTATCGGCTTTTGATTCACGATATCACAAATGCTTTTCAAACTTCACACTCGTATTTACTACTTTAATGTAAACATAAATCATGTAGGTACAAAATATCAGCAATTATTTTTGACCTAGTTGCACTTTAACCGCATTTATTTACTTATAGCTTATGAAACTATATTTTCTATACACACACTGGTACAATATGATCGTGGAGTTTTTTTATGATAATTTATAATTTTTAAAGTTCCTCGAAGATGACAATTCATTGTTTACATTATGTAATTTCGTGTACCTACCTGAAAGAATTACCTGGAATAATTCGTGGCATCTACAGAATGTACAATTAAATCCTTAAAACTAATAATTGTAACGCTAAATCTATGTCAGTGGCCATTCACATTCAGTTCCATCAAAATAAAAAATTGAACCTACGTATACACTAAGTAAAGAATATATGTATACTACTTCTATGATGGCTTTATTTTCTTCCATTGAGAGATGATCTAGCTTTCCGGCTCTAACAAGTAATTGCATTGATGTAAAACTCATGTTTTTAGTATTGTATTTATTATTTTAATATGTTAAAATAACATAATAACTAATGTGTCTTTAAACAATAAAATTACAATTCTGTAATTATTTTCAGAGATAATGAGTATCTAACGTTAAATGAACCATCCTGTACAGTTAAATACCTAATAAATACATTTCTGATCTAAATCTATAAATATAACATGATCAAATTATTTATTAATTTGCATAAAAACATTGCAATTTATAAGTTTTTTTTTTTTGGAAAGTATTGACTCTGTTTAATATAAACAATTGACAATTCCAAATCGGTTGGTGTATTTTGGAAATCGTTTTAAAACTGCGGGCCATCTGTGAAAATTTGTTTATTCGAAAATGACTGTTCCTTTGAATTTTTTCACTAATGCAAACATTTAAATTCAACGTATTCGCTAAAAAACAAACTAGTATCATGAAATTATGAAAATTCGTTTTCAATAGCAACACAGTTTGAAAATAATTGTCGTTATATAACTTCTATTTTTACTGATCGTTATAGACCACTGTATAAAGTTTAAACATATTTATTATACATATATATATATTTTTAAATCCCTTACTTAACTGACAACCATAGCGAGAACAAACTATTCGGTTTGTTTGTTAGTTAAACTTAATTTTTCAGTAGATTAAATGTAATTAAATTGTTGAGCCAAATATTTTTTATTAATAAAGGCTATAAAAAAAAATGTTTTTCAGTTTTACTATGTTTTTGTGTATCATTTTTTTTAATTGCTAACCCTGTACTGGGTGGTCCCAAGTAGAGAAAAACGGGTTTGCGTCAAAAACCTAGCGATAATGAGATAAATGAGGTTTTATATTTTGTCCGACAATAATTCTCTAATATGTTGGTTCAAATTTTACTTATGTAACTACCATTGTATGATTTTTTTCTTCAATTGTCTCGTTTTGTCGTATCATATATTATTATTGATGAACTGGTAGCATAATAGCATAGCTATGGGCCAGGTACTTTAATAAAAGAAATTTATTTTATCATAGTTCGGGGAGATTATGTTTAGGGTTCTCCAATAAGTCAGTCTAGATAAAATTCAGTCAAAATATGTATATTTTGATGTTTCCAAACAGTGTTAGAAGTATAATTCCTGCCATTCATATGCATCGCTAGGTGGCGTACCGTGTGGCGTTGTCCTGAACTTACCAAATATTGGGACGTTACAAAGATTTTTATACTTAACCGAAGTTTGAAAATGTATACATACATTTATATATATGTTATATTTATATACATAAATAACATATTAAAAAACCAAAAAAAATAGTAATGATACATTTTTTTTTATGCGGATAAGTTTTAATTTTTTTTAATCTTTAACATTAACATTGGAATTTTTGTTTTTTGAATCTATTTATTTTTTTGAATTCTCGAGTGCTGACGAAATCATATCCAACAATCCACAAGATTCCATAATTTTCTTAAATAGCTTGAAATCTATATTGTCTAAAAAAAATATTTTCATTTAAAAATTTAATGTATTGGTACATACATTTTTAGAATATCGACAACAGTGCTGAACACCTGTTGTCGGTATTCTAGAAAATAAAAATAGATAATATAAGACAAAATTAACGAAACAATAAGGTTTTGGAAAAATATATATAAAAAAATTAATTGTTGAAAACATCTTATTTCGTCTGGATTAAGGTATTAGAAAAACATGTTGCTTTTCTCTTGTTCTAATTAGTCATTTTACTCTTGCTACTATTAAATATTTTGTTTTCAACGAAATTGCAAATTTTGGGTGAATTAGACTACAACAGCATTGATCTAAATAACAAAATCAGGTGCCATAAATACCAAAACAAGTTTTCATTTGTATTTATTACAAACGGGGGTTTTAAATTATACCTATAATATTTTTACTCTACACATGTTTGTGAAATTCATGAAATATGTAAAATACAATACATAACGTAGAAAACATAATTAATTAATAAGCCTTAATGCGAAGCTGAGAAGATATTGTTTTTATAAAGATGTGTCTCTATTTTGTTTTTTAATAATAACTTTTTTTTTTTTTTTTTAACAAGTCTATAGAACTATAGGTACGTTTTGGAGTTACAATTAAAAGGCTCATCTCTCTTACCCGTGAATATCGAGAAAATGCTTAAAAATGTAAATATTTTTCTACTCAAAATTACGGTGCTATATAATTTTATAAAAATAGTCAAATAAGTTCCAAAATTATTTGGAATATTCATAAGATCAATTATTATCGAACATTGATAAAAGCTTCGAAAAAAATCAGAAAAGATAGTAAATTAAATGTTTGTAAATGTGAACGGGAAACTCTTATAAAACTAACTACTTCAAAGTTTCGCTAAACAAACTACTACTAAATGATAATTATTAAACATAACTAATGGTTACTTTGGTATTGTGGTGGAACTAAATTTGTTGAAAAATAATCTTTTACAGTTGCAAAATGTTTGGGACCTATAAACGAAGCTATATTCAACTCGTTAAGACCTCTTCCACGAGGAACGCTGTAATACGATAGAAGCAACTTGTATGCTTCTGCCAAAACCTATAAACATTTTTTTACGAATTTCATTATATTTTATTCCATAAAAAAATTGATTATAATATTTATTTTTATACACATTAGAGAACATTATAAAACATCAAAAACGCAACATTCGTTTCAGGTCCAGAGAACATTATTAGAATCAATGTTTTTTTTTAAGTACATTTATGAATAAAAAGTGGACTGTTATTCTGTTATTTATTCATTAATTAAAACATGATCAATTTTTCAATCAATACTAAATTAACTACCTATTTATTTAAAGTTATTATTTATTTAAAAAAAATGAGTATTTCGTTATTCATAAATACTATAAATAATAAACAGTTTTATGGATAGGAAAAAGTATTTTGTTAATTTTTACTGAAGTACCTCGCTAATAGCTACCAGTACATCAGCAATAACATGTAAGACCAAAACCTATCAATCGATTAAAATAATACGTATAAAATTCATTTGAAATTAAAACTTGGACTAACATATTATAATAGAACATCAAGTATTATTACCGAGTATTATTATCTGAGAAAATGTAAAACAAATACCTCGTCTTCAGCAGAGTCGCTGCTCAAACTATGTTTGGGTTTAACCTGGTAATGCATTAGAGCGGGTTTGAGAGTTTCTTGTAAAGCCTGTAAAATTGTTAACTAATTTTAATACATCTTATTCCATGAAATAAAACAGATTATAAAATTGTATATAATATAGCCTAGAAAAAAAATATAGGCCATTATAATATTATACAACCACCGGTTAAAGTACCGGACAAAATTCACATTTTTTTACCTTAAAAAAAAAAAATTAAAACTACTTGTTTTTCAAATTTAAAATAATTGCATGATTTCGGTAAACATTGTACCTATTAACAAATACCAACTAATTATAATTATTACACGCATGCTCATAATTAATTATAATCAAATTTTTAATTAGTAATTTTTAAAAGTGATTTCTTAGACAATATTACTGTAGAGCATAACTTGGACCTATATATTATAAATTATATGAAAACCATTGACAAAACAACAATAGTTACAAAATAAAAATCAAAAAAAAATATCACAAATTACTTCATCTTGAGCTTCTCCTAGTACGTTATAATTTGCTACAATAAAAGATGTCAGCAAAATAGTTAATTTGAAATACATATTATCCGGTATTATTCTATCAACACTAAACTGAAGTTTACAGAGCTGCTATATGAATATTGTTTTGACTCTGTAGTTGCCAGTTATATAAAAAATTGAACAAAATCTCAAATAATAAGTAAATATAAAAAATAATAAAATACATCAAATATGTCTCCTAATAAGTATTTAACCTGTGACATTATTTAAAATGTATATTCAAACGATTTTATTACTATCATATATACAAATATATGATCACATATTTTATATGATTATTTATTATATCTGAATAACACAAACATTAATTAATCATTAATGTCATGATGCAGAGATGTTGTAAGTTTGCTTTTGAAGATTTTACAAAAAATAATTTTAAAATGCTTTAATGCTACCAACGCTAAATAATAAACGCTTATGTAATAATATACATTTTTAACTATGGGTAAAACAATAAACTTTATAAATAATGTAAATAACATTTTTAGGTAATATAAATTATAAGAACACAGCTATAAGGCTTGTATTAATTAGACAAAAATAAAAATAATTTTTTTTTTAAGAATTAATATATATTAGATAAAAAATTATAATTCTTTTTTAAAAAAAAAAAAAACCCCCATCAAATTAATAGTAATATTTTATGAAAATTATTACTGGTCATTAACAAGTTTGAAAAAATACCTTTAGCGTACAAAAGTGTATGCGAAGTTACAAAGTGCAGAGAAATATATTCTAACTATATTTATATTATATATTCTATTTAAACAGTGCTCACTACTTGACTGTATTTATCGTTTCCACATTGCCTCATGCACATATTAAAACGCTAATTACTACACAAGTGTTTATTCAAAAAATGTTTTTCAACTACCACTTTAGAATTTCGAACTAGCTGATTATTCCTATATAAAATTAACTACACAACCAAAAATATTAAACTGGTATTTCTTTTAAAATTTGTTGTTTAATGATAAAATACAGCAAAACTAGAAGTTGACATTTTTAAATGTAATAATATAATTCATACAATTTTTTAGTATTAGGGTAGAAAATAAAAAATATTGTAATAATATTTTAAATTGTATAATACTATTTTTATAGCATGATAAATCCTGGCACGTGTCTGTTTTTATTAAATTTAAACATGATGTTTTAAATAATAAACACCTGAAAATACGCACAATACCACCTACAATTGTTTTGCAAATTTTGCCTATTTAATAATTTATTAGGTATAAACCATGATTCTATAATTTTTTTTACACATTCATATATAGGTACTTACAACGACTTTTCGTTTTCAAAATATCGTTTTAAGTATACTATGGTTAAGCTGTTAGTAGGTATAATATTATCGAAATTTATAATTGCTTTATTGTAATATGATGCAGTTTTATTTTGCAAAAATAAAGTCTGTGGTTAACGTCTTTATGCGCAATAGTTGTCCAAAAACCTCTAGAAAAATCTAAAAACGAATACGTTTTGGATCATATTTTATATTTTTCATTCTGAGTTTTGGCTGTTGAATTGTTTTCTGTACTTTAATCAAATAATACATAGGTTATTAAGAATTTCATATTTTACACTTGATTTTTTGATGATCTACTTAGCTTAGTTTGAACTTACAATACAAAGATTCTCATCGAATCGTTTATTTGAAAATTATTGTATCACTTTCAGTTATAACTCTTGTAGAACTGTAACCTCCCTGTCCCCACTATGCCCTGATCCCACTGTACTAGATTTTTAAATTAAAACTAATTCGTTGAATTGTTTTTGAGAAATAAAATCATTTTTAGTCAGGTGCCAAATACTGAGAAATTTAAGTATGAACTTTTACTGTTTCTATCGTCTTCGTAGGCTCTGCATTTAGTAAATATACGCTTAACGCTAATTATTAATCCACATTACATGCATGAAAATGATGGACTCTCCTTTTTCCATGAGATTACTATGGACTATATTTGTGTGGCTTACTTTCATACGATTGTGTATAACTTTTTCTTTTTTGTTGGTGGTCGTCTTAGGGGTTTGGTCTATTTTTTGATAGTTTGCTAAATCTTTCAAGTTTGTCATCTCTATTATCGAGTCATTTGTTTTGCCATTTGATTACATTTTAATTATTTTCTGAAATTTAATGTTGTCATAAGAGACATTATATTGTATGATAATACAGCGATAATGACTAATGTTTACATAGGTAGTAGGAAGTACAATTATAAATGGCCTTCAGAATTTGGAATACTAAAAATACCACAATACCCCCAACTCCTGACCAATTTTCAATAGTTAAAACAACTCGAAATATGCGTTACTTAAATTTTTAAAACAAATCTTAAACACAACTATTAAACTATACTTGTTTCAAATATTTTATTCTTTCTATTAGAGTAGTTATCTCTTGGCCCTCTGGAGTATTTTTATACAAATAACGCGAAAATAAGTTAATATGTACCTAAAACTTTTCGTGACTACAGAAACTTAGTAAATAATTATAAAAACCCGATTAATTTTATAAACTACACACACTTTTTTATTCATATTTATATTAGGTAAATAGTAATAAATGTCTTTTCCTCTTTTTAAGTAACAACTTTGACAAGTCATTACTTTTGAAATGATAAATCAATTAACAAAATTTTTCGTTTATTTTTATAAAAACTGGTTATCAACCAGTCATTAAATGTTCAGGAAATTATTAATTATTAAAAAAATTGTTACATTACTCTACCAACTATTTTCCAAAAGTTGACATAAAATTCTAGAATTTACCGAAATTTATAAAAAAAAAAAATGTAGTATTGTTTAATTCTGTAAAATTACCTAACACATAATATCTCCAAAAAAAAAACACTAAAAATTTGTAATAATTTTCAGAAAAAATGAGTGTCACACATCATACACATTTTTAGAAATTAGAAATACATACAAAAAAAAACTACAAATTTAGCCATCAGTTCATTAAATATCAATATGTAATACTTGTAAAATTCATAATAGAACTTTACTCAACATCTTTAAAAGCAACGACCACACAATTCGAAGTAACAAACTACAATAATAACATAATAAATTAAGTGGAATGGATAGCAGCCAAACATTTATTGAAGTAATTCAACAATGTCACACCAATCGATAAGAGTAGAATAATGATTTAACACAAACACATGACAATTATTCTCTATAAATTATAATTATAATTACCGCGGTAAAACAAAACATTTTTTTTTCAGTATGTTTTGATTTATAGTATTGATGAATGGAGCCTAAAGTATTTATTAGTTAATGTTAATTTTAACTGGATATTTTGGTAATTGGTTATCAATTATTATTGAAACATGCAAAAGATTAAGAAGTCATGTTAGTAAGTCAACACATTGAACATTTTAACCATTAATTTTCCATTTGTAAAATATAACACAATGTATACAAATTTGTGATACATTTTGATAGTATTATAATTATAATACTATCGTCTTACAACTATATTGTGTCGACCGCAGACTTATAAGTTATTATACAAGAATATAATAATATAGTTAACATTTTACCGTATTTTGTTATTGGTATACTTGGTGCGTATCAAATGGGTAAGGTTAACTAATATAAACAATAGTAGGGTACCAATGGAATCGTTACATGGTTTGAATCGATGGTCGCTAACTGACGATTTCGTGGATCTAAATTATTTAAGCAGTCGCCTTATTTATTAATAACATGTTTTCCGTACTTAAATAGTTTAATTTGTAATGAATCTATTCATACACAAATTTAATAATATTTAAAATATCATTATATATGTTATTTGAAAATATATATATGTATATATGTAAAATTATGAAAAAATAAAATAGTAATAAAAACAAACAATATATCATACATTTTTTTTATACAAATAATAAAGAATATTTATTAAAACAGTTCACCGAAATAATGTTATCTAGTTGTTATCGTTAACGCTGCTGTGGTTGGTCTGTAACCGACGGGCTTTTATGATTATAGTTCACTAGTCTTCTGCCCACCAGATATTTGTCATTTTTAATGTGTTCGTAAAGCCTTTTGAACTGTCGCACTTGCATTATCATTGCCTTGACGATGATCACCAACAACACCACCGTGGGATAAATCCGCCTGGCGATGAGTAGCTGCGTCGACTGGCTCTTGATTACCATTGGTACTATGGAGTAGGCGATCACGTACGGCACGGCCAATGACAGGCTGAGTACGGCGATCACGGGCACGGCCAGTTCGCGCATCATTAGCTCAAGGTCCAGGCGCATAAAGCCGTCCCTGTAGGTGCGCTCGATTGCTCGGCGCATGGGCCAGTCAGGGCCCATCAACGTGATGGCGCACGCTATTTTCATATACAGCACGCCCAGCGCCCAGTCTTGGAAACCCCACAACACGGGTGTCTGGTGTAGTGGCACCCGGAACGGCACGACCATGACGAGCTCGAGGAACAATCCGAACAGAAACGGTATGACGCCAAGCAACACGATAAATGCCACCAGAGCTTTGGAGCCGACCTTGAGCCAAAACTTTAAGCGAGTCATCACGACGGCGCGACCCTCAGGCAACCACCCTGCCAAGAAGCACACAGCCCGCACGGAGAGCCAACATATGTAGGTGCCGCACGCTGCTGTGTACAGCTCATGGATATTGGGTGTTTGCAATGACGACTCGTTGGGTGCGGGTAACACGTCCGGCCAGAACGACATAGTCATACGACCAAGGTACACAGGCACAATAATGATGGACAGGCTGATGGCCACTACGGAAATGGCCACGAACATCAGCAGCAGAATGAGGCGCGCAGTGAAATGAGAGGGCCGCGTGTACGGTCGGAATCCCACGGGCCCTCCACGTCTTAACAAGCCTTCGTGAGCTGCGCCCAGATCTGCAACTGGCGGGTGTATGGGAGCTACAACAGGCTGTGGTTCTTCGCCGTCGCCTAGCAAGTAAGACTTTAGGCCGAGCAAACGAGAAACGACCAGGCACCAAAAGCGTACACCCGCTTTCAACCAGTTGCGTGTGTGCGTTTGTTCAAGTAACGCCGGCAAAATCACCTGTAGCAGTAGCAGCTCCAACGACAGTTCATTGACGGAATCGCTATGAAGGGTCACATTATACGGCAAAAACGATGGCCACATGAACTTTAGAATGCGTATCGGCAGCCAAACCACCAGAAAAACTGCAGTACCGAATATCATAGCTGAAGCAATGAGTCTCCGTCCGTGTTGCAACATGCCCTGTTGTATTAGCTCCTAAAAATATATTAAAAAATAAATAAATAAATATTTTACATTTGTAATATATATGAATTTATTTTTCATATATACAATACTAGCTAAGATCGAAAAGTTAAAAATAAACATTAATTTTATAAGTAAGACATTAAATATTCAATTGTGAGAAATAAGTATATAAATACGTAATATTATAAATAATTTTTTGACTGTGAAATTTTTTTTTAATCAAAAGGATACAATTTTTACACTAGTTGGTTAAAATGAAATTTAAAACCCAAATATATAGTACAACATGGGCAAGGTCTCTTCCAAACGCATTCTCTCTAGGTAGTCTAGGATATTGGTGTATTGATTGTGTTGAAAAGAAAAAAGTTTTCAATAATTAATTTGGGTAGTTAATTTAGTAGGTGGTAACGTATCTAAATAAAATATACGTGTCTATAATGAACCATTTAGTGTCTTAGGTCAATAATATACTTATTGTGAAGTTTTAATTTTAGTTAGATTTAATTATGAGTTTACTTTAAGAGTAAAAATGGCTAAAAATACTATTTTATACTTGCATTTATTTAGGCGCATTGTATAAGTCATTTTTTGATAAAACTTAACATTTGTAAACTCATATAATAACACAGCAAAGAGGTATCTATTTTGACATTTATTTTTTTCTTAAACTTTTATAATGCACATAAGCCCTATTATTTTCAGACATTAATTTACAAGGCATTAACCGTTGCACAATTTTAAAATTATTTATAGTTCATTAGTTATTTCTATTTATTACAATTTGTAGAGTTTTTTAGCCGCATAATCTAATTGTTAGCTTTAGAGTTTTGATAGGCAAACATTTTTTTTTTTAAAGAAACTTTTGGTAGCAAAAAAATGTCAACATATGGACACTTGAAAATGTGACATATAATAAATTACCTGTATGGGACTGAAATCCGGGTCGTTCAAATTCCGCAAAAACCATAGTACTCCAGGTCGTACCACTTCTCTGAGAAGTAACACAAATGAAGCGAAATAATATACATACACCATGCCGACCAACCAATGGATAAACATTGATGTGCCAGGCGCTTGACGGAAACTCGACAACCTATCTTTGAAACTCGTGTCGAACATGGACAAGGAACATATGTCTAACCACCAACCGCATACTAAGGGTAGAACTCCGATTTCAACAACTGATAATAGTGAAACCTAAGTAACAAAAATTTGGTTAAATTTACATTGATATTAAACATAGTCAAACGTGTTTGTCAAAGATATGCATGCAAATCACCTTCACAACAATATAGCTAAGGCCGATTATACGTTTGGACCGTCTAAAGCCGATGATAGTGGCGGCCGTATGCAATATTAGTAAACACATGCCAATCAGACAGTAACCACATAAAGTTGTCACTAGGCCTTCAAAATGAGAAGCTGCCACTTTGTCTTGTAAAGACAGTGAAGTAATGGCCAGATTACCCATTTGGTATGGACAGAATGCAAACACTAATATAAACAGAGCGTTCATCGATACAACCCAAAAGACATGTTCCAAAAACACCAACGATCCATCCAAGCCCAGTAGCCTCTCCCAGGTTAAATCTTCAGCGGCTCGATCGCCCCAATCTATGGGATTCCAGTGACCTTCATCAACTAGATTTGCTTCTCGCCGAATTGCAGCATCAATCTACAAAACAAAATACATAATATTTTAGTATAAGATAATTTGAAAATATTAGAATACTGATGATTCTTACATCATCTTCAGCGGCGTTTTCTTCAGGAATCGGCGGCAATATAAGGTTAAGCTGCTGTTGTGGATTATTAGGCTCTTCTCTTTCCAGCCAGTCGGGTCCGCCACCATGTAAAATTTGTTCTCGCAACCATATTAATCCGATAAATGCAAATAGCGTGCAAGTCACAACAAAGCAGCCATGAAATATATCGCCGGATATGTTTTTGGACGACCATATGTCTATGGGCAATGACATCACCTGCCACAGATTAAAACAGTTACTACTACTTTTCAACGTAATCTAGTCACTTATATTAATACTTACGGCGTCAAAAGAGCCATTGAACAGGCTTCGGTAAATGCGGCAAGCCGTAAAAGGCACAACACAGAGCCAAGCTAATCCCACAAGCGTGAAATGCAACCAATACTTTACACCAGTCAGAATGCTGGAAGTGATACCGGCAGCGACATCTTTGATAGGAAGTCTGCCCGGCATATCGGGGGCATAAATTGGCGTGAACGAAAACCGATAGCTGCATAACTCACAATATTCTTTACGGCTGTAACGCATCCATTGAACCAAGCACTCCTGATGAATGTACTTAATGCTGCCTGTACATATGCATGGATGGAACAATGGTCTTTCTGGCATGCCTTCCGATCGGCATACCCTACATATGTCCGCCCCTTGTGCAGGGTCGTCCATATTGATGGACATGCAGTCGCTGACAAAAAAATTATTCGGTTATTCTAGAAAGAAAATGGTTAAGTTCAAACACGTTGTAACATAAAAGTAAAAATTTTAGTTACTATAGCTATAATCAATAATATTGAATGTTGGCTGATAAGGAAATCAAATTTAAATATTTAGTCATTAACCGAACTATAACAATACTATACCATATTATGACCTTCGTGCAACAAACAATTTACCAATATCGAACCACGACATCACTCAAAAGTGAAAACAGAATTATAAATGTCTCCTAACTCCTAATCTATATAGATATAATACGAGTACTTTTTTTTTTTTTAAATACCAGTAAAATTACTGTAGGTCAACTAACAATCTTAATTTGTCTTTATTGATCAATATTTTCCTTTTCAGTTTAATATTGTAATAACAATAATTGTTTTAATATTCTCAATAGAATCGCTTAATAATGTAATAAAAAATATTCTAAACGTCAATATTGAACTGATTGTTTGTAACAACTCGGAATGGAAGCTGATGGATGGCATTAAATTTAATATATTGCTGTATTATAATTTAGCCTAAATCTATACTAATATCGTTGTATTTCATAAATGTGGGTTCAAAATAAATGCTACGCTACTGAGGCCGATACTTTCACTAGAGCCGATCGAGTACGATTGTTTCGGTTTAACGCATTTGACGCAGATTCCAAACGTCGTTCGGTTGAATGAAGAGTTACAGAAAAAAAAATTAAAACCAATTATTGCGTCATTAAATAGCGAGCAACAACAGTAATGATATTATAGGTATAGCCAAATTTCCGACGACGACAGTTGTTATCAACTCGGTGCTAGTTTCCAAGACAAATATTACTTACAACAATTAGGGAAACGACGAAATATCACTTTACGGCAAACCCGTAACCACGCTTTTACGATATTTCCACCGAAAGCTTTCGGCAAGACGAATAATTACACAAAATTTAACAAAATATTTTTTTCGCCGTTTAGATCGATCAATAATGACTTCAACGTTATCATTTACGTCACACACACACATACACATTACACACACCACCCCTCCTTGTGACCGCATACCCGGTAGTCGGTTCAGTGGGTTGTAGGTAGTTTTAGCCGGGATAATTAGAAAAATTTTCAATTTTTTTGTTCAATAATATTATGTACGAACGCTTATTCGATTCGATCCTAGAAACAAGTAAAGAAAAAAAAAAACCACCGTTCTGAGTTTAATTTATATTTTATTATTATTCTGTTTTGTCGACCTCTTGGATTCGCCGCGAATCGCCTTTATCACTAACCGAAAGCTGGTTTATCGTGAAATTGATAACGTCGATAAGCTGGTGTTACGTCGTCGAAGGTAAAATAAAAATAATAACTTTATTACAATATTATTATCGCCAAGGCCCGAAGCAACAAGCTGATCGACGGTACAGACTTTGACCTTTTTGCGAAGCCAAATACCGTTTCCGCGTTCCTATTTAGAACACGGCGAATCGGGTCGAGGTTTGTGAAACGGTGAAAATTTGCCGTTTATTTCTACCCTGTCTACGCCGACGAGGAGAGAGCCATGGCGTCGAATTTGCTGAAAAACATTGTCAAGCTGGACACCAGATTGTCCATATCGCATAATGTCTCCTGTAAGTTGATAAAGTGTTTTTCGATAATTATAAAATTACCGTCTCATTTTTTCCCCTCCCCATCTTATTTTCCAGTACCGATCAGATGTCTGGCCACAGCGTCGCCCCGTGTCAAAGACAAGACGGGAAAAAATATTGTATTTGTTGACGGCGTACGAACTCCGTTCTTGCTATCGGGAACCGACTATTCGTCGTTGATGGCTCATCAGTTGGCCAAAGAAGCTCTCCTGTGAGTTATAGTAAATTAAGAATGTTAATCATTGTTACGTTTCCAAAAAATAATACCGTTTTTAAACAATGCTACAACAATATACAAAAATTATAAACGAAAATGTTTTTTTAAACATGTGGTGAGCGAACAACATATGTACTTTTTTATTGTTACAAAATATGATTTAACTCCTTTGCCAATAACTTTAACAGTAATAATAAGTACAATAGGTATTACATTACTGTAAAGATTATCATTTTTTAATGTTCTATCGTTAACCTGACAGAATTTCGTCTACTTAGGATGATCAGATTTCAATTCTGTAAAAATATTTGAGTTTATTGGTCTCTTTTCTAAGTTATTGTGAGAATAGATTTTTGATATTTCAACTAAACTGTTTAAATCCTATTTAAATTTCTAAAAATTTTGATATTTATTAGTTATTCAAAAATCTACTTCCTCAATAACCTGAAACAAAGGTCGATCAGCTAAATTATTTTTACAGAATTAAATTCTGATCATTCTTAATAGGCTTTTAGGTCTAAAATAGTTTCTTTTAGGAACAAATGGCTTTTACTCGTAAAAAAGATTATACAAGTTAAAAATTATACCCTGAACCTTATACAAATTAACCTGAAAATAAATTAACACGTTCAAACCCCTTTTTTCTTAAATATTGCCTTTAAATAACATTGGAAAACAATGTAACAACCAAAAGGCCTTGATAAAGTTTTATTACTTTTTATAGGCTTAAAAACATGAATAAACTATTAAATATCTAAGGTAACTTAAAAATATTATAAATGATAATTGATACCGATAAAAAAATCCATGGAAGCTTTATAATATTTTTGTACAGGTTCCTTCAAAGAGGATTATGAAATGTGACCTATTTTGTAATAATAATAATATTATTTTTACAAAATATAAATATGTGACTAAATAAATCCCTTAAAAATATTTTTTTTATCAAATATGGCTTATTTACTAATATAATATTTTTTAGAGGACTGATGAAGAAAACTAACGTTCCACGTGAAGTAGTCGATTACATTGTGTACGGAACAGTTATTCAAGAAGTCAAAACTAGCAATATTGCCCGAGAAGCAGCTCTTGCTGCCGGCTTCCCTTACTCTGTTCCCGCACACACGGTGACGATGGCTTGTATCAGTTCCAATCAAGGAATTACTACGGGCATTGGACTGATTGCGGCTGGTGCGTACGATGTGGTCGTGGCAGGCGGTGTGGAATTCATGTCTGACGTTCCGATTAGACACTCTCGTAAAATGCGAAGTCTTCTATTAAAGGCGAACAAAGCAAAGACTCCTTTGGATAAACTAAAATTACTTTCCACATTCAGACCGAGTTTCTTGATGCCTGAGGTATAATATTAACCGAGTTGATAATCGTGGTTTATTTTGATGATGAAATTAACGTACAGTGTGTTTATAGTTACCAGCTGTCGCCGAGTTCAGTTCTGGCGAGACTATGGGTTTTTCGGCCGATCGGTTAGCTGCTGCATTTAAAGTTACTCGCGAAGAACAGGATCAGTACGCAGTAAGATCTCATACGATGGCTAAAGAAGCACAGGAAAAGGGATACTTGACTGACATTATACCATTTAGAGGTAAACCAGTTTTTATTTTTAGCCAACAAAGTATTGTTTTTACAAAGATGAGGTATTTTTTTATATTTTGTGACTTGAACCACAATAATTCTTTAACTGCCAGACCGATTACTTCATGTAACAAGTCTATATAGATCAGAAATCGTACCTGAAAAGTAGCGCACGTTATTTTTCGAAAATATTTGTATATCACAATTCCCATCGTGCTGGAATTTTATTTATTTAATATTTTTTTATAAATGATTCAGTGCCCAACTCGTCAAAGGTGATAGAGGCCGACAACGGTATTCGAGTATCGCCAATCGAGAAACTGGCCAAACTTAAACCTGCGTTTGTTAAACCACACGGCACTGTGACAGCTGCAAATTCATCATTTTTGGTAAAAAATAAAAGTTGGTGTTAATATAAATATAATGTACCATTGTATTGATATTTTTTAGACCGACGGTGCTTCCGCTTGTCTTATAATGACTGAAGAGAAGGCCAAGCAGTTGGGTCTGAAACCGAAATTGTACTTGAGAGATTTCACTTACGTCGCACAAGATCCACTTGATCAACTTTTGCTCGGACCTACATACGCCACACCTAAAGTATTAGAGAAAGCCGGATTGACTGTCAAGGACATTGATGTTTGGGAAGTGCACGAAGCTTTTGCGGTGATTATTTTTTAGAAACTGTACTTATATTTTCAATAGACTATTTTTTTATTTTTAATAATAATAATTATGTTTTTAGGGTCAAATAATGGCGAATTTGAAAGCTATGGATAGCGAATTTTTTGCACAAAAATACATGAACAGACAGAGTAAAGTCGGCGTGCCCGATTTATCCAAATGGAACACATGGGGAGGATCGTTGAGCATTGGTCATCCATTCGCAGCTACCGGCAAGTCACTGGTTTTTTTTAATAAGTAATGTCATTGAAATTTTATTTATGATCTGTTTTTCATGTTCAATATCACAGGAGTTCGTTTGACAGTACACACTGCTAATAGATTAGTCAGGGAAGACGGTCAATTTGGTTTGATCGCCGCTTGTGCTGCCGGTGGACAAGTTAGTAGTTTATTTGATTGCAAATATTTATATATATTTTTTTAAATTAAGGTTATTAAATTTAAGTATATAATTTTTTTAATGTACTTTTTAGGGTGTTGGCATGATTGTCGAAAGACATCCTGACGCAACTCCGGAGTAAATTATCATTAGCGAAATCGTCATTGTACAAACCTTATGACGGCCAATGGTGATTTGGGGTAAAAGAAATATATTTATTGTATTTTGAAACATTAGTTATGAACATTATTACGTTTATTATCTAATATATTATTTTTTATTGTTCCAAGTGGTTATATTTATATCATTAACTTCTGTATTTTTCAACGGTTTTCTCAAAAGAGCATGTCCTTAGATAAATTTATTACTATAGTTATATGAAAATTTAAATAAAATATTATATTTTTGGATATTTTTGTACGCTGATGGATTTTTAGTTGTATGGTTAATTTTGTCAATGCCAACGTCTTATATTGTTTATAATGTAACTTTATAAAAGAACTAAAAATCATTCATTCAGTACCGAATATATTAATGGCCATTTTTGGGGGTCAAGGTTTTGTGTAAAATTTAATTTGAATTGATTAACTGCAAGAATTTTAAGACTTTATTATTTCGGAATCGGAAAATATTTCAATTTAAACAGTTAAATCTCAATTAATAGCCAATGTTTTGTTTTGCGTTTCTATATAAATAATAATTATAACTGGTCGGCTCTAAACTTTTACCATACATTAAAACATATTTTCTTTTCTTTAATTTTGTGCTATATTTCCTTATTCTATCATCCGGTTTCTTTAACTGAATACTTTCCTGGTCGGGTCTCTTCGAGGGCGATTTTGGCTGTTCTTATAATTTTCTCTGAGACAAATGATCAAAATTCATTATTATTACTCTCCCCTCTACTCTCGTTCACTGTTTGTGTATACTTATTTGCAATATTCGATTATATATAATTTGAATATCTAAGTCTTATCGTTATCATCGAGATTTTTCCCATTCAATGAGCCATGATGTTTTTTCTTTTTAGACAGTTCACGTGCATTTGCGTTTACACACCGTGTGTCCTGCCTTAAGGACGTAATTCCTATTTTACTAATCTACACCAAATGTAGCTGGTAAAAATATAGTTTGTGCTCTGTTAACGGTTTTGGACACAAATAAGGCTTCTCGTACAATACAATAGAACACAACGATTTCCGGCCGAGATGACAATATTTTTTTGTACGATTGTTAATATTGGTTATCCTCTGCTTCTAGGCAGACCAAATCGTTTAGGATTTACAGTGTCCACCGTTTGCCGGCATCAAGCATTGCAAATTGAGCGGCTTCCGGACTTAGGACTTAGGTGGGTCTGTGTGGTGTGTAGGTTGGTAAAGAGACAGGTCTAATCGAGGCGGTTCGCCGTCGGTCTGCGGATCTAATTGATCGGACCGACTGTTGTTGTTATAAGATGTAAAAAAATATATTATATTATAAGGTTCACTCGGATTTCACGGGTTAACCCCTGACGTTAAGGTGCACCGGCCATTTGAAAAAAAAAAAAAAATTAACATAATTTCGTTCGTTCCGATCGGGCACTAACAGTACTCTGTTTAATATTGTTTTTAACATTTTCGTTCGGGTTTTAATTGTACGCAAGTCCGTTCTATATATATATATATATATATATTCCAGTATTTACCTGCATATTGTTATGTTTCACAGTCGGATTTATAACGTTACATCGGCCGTTCTAATTAAACCGCTATAATTCCGGCAAATCGGTAGTGCTAAACCCAAAGTACATTCCAAAAAAATTTGTAAGTTGATGTTCAACATTAGTCGTAATCAATTATTTTTACGACTTATACATATTTTAGAAAAACGTTATATATGCATATATATTTTATCATCGATTGAGCATATAAACATGCTTAATCTATGTTATATTCATTATTAATTTAATATATTTTTATAAAAAAAAAAATGTCATTTTTTATTCATTACTTGGCATTTTTGTGTAAGTATTATAAATGCATTTTTGTATTTTGTCAGTAATTTACCCACCGTTTATAACCAATACCAAATAATACATAAATAAATCGCAAGTAATTACAAGTTAAAATTTAGATGAATACCAATTATTTTTCTAATTTCAAACACAACAACGCATTCTTCTTATTTTTTTGATGACTTCTGTCTATGTGGTAAAATATCGTTTCAATCAATGTTATTTTAAGTAAAGCTGCAAAGATTGGACGAGTTGGATGACTTATATTTTATTATGTTTTATGTTGGCAAAATATTGACTAAAATAAACACCTGTTATCATTAATTTGTAATCCAAGTCTACATACTTATATTTGTTACATATGTTTGTTGTAATAATTCTGTCATCACATTATTATGGCGTGTGTGAGATAAATGCAAAATGTATAAATTAACCTCGTTATCCAGAAGTGTGTAATGTGTGCACTTAATTATCTCTCTCGCTTTCTTTGTAGCTATAACATTATTATTTTATCCAAATATTATTGCTCGCGTTCCGTTACAATTGTTTTGGTGTTTTCCGGCGTTATAAAATTTTACATGAAATTATTATGGTTGTGTGGTAACGTTACCTTTCTCGGTTGGATAATTAGTATTATTATTATTGTATTGCTTAGCGGATTAATTAGTTGCACTATACCTATATATGGTCGTCGGTCATCGCACTGACGAATTCGTTTTACCGTAAACACCAAATAAGAATCTAATATCTATTTCTACGCTACTGATGATACTTCAGCCGCTGCTGTCTATTTTATAAGCAATTTTTTTTAATATTATTGATAACCACCTATGCCAATCGTATTGAATGTTGGAAACGCAAAATATGCAAGTGTCAGTCAGTATTGGAAAATTCAAACTTTTTCCCTTGAAAAAAAGACATTGGATATAATGAATAATGACCACCAGTCTTATGATCAACTGATTCTCATATTATTTCACCCTTTTTAACTTATCTACCTCATCGATGATAATTTGATATTCGTATTGTTGTAGATAAATAGGTACATAGTAATATCATAATATTAAAGTCTTGCAAATAGTTTTAATTGAAATATAAATACCTTATATTAAAATTAAAACAACTAATAACATTAGTGCTTATGAATGATTAGTCACAAACACAAAATGGGATAATTTTTGTTAAGATAAAGCATTTTTTTGAGTTTGTTTATTCGTTTGATTAACAAAGTGAAATTATTTTACACATTTATATAAATTATATGTATAGGTACGTATAGACTATAATTGGTATAATTCTTCAATTTATTACAAAAAAATAATAACGTAATTAGTAGAAGTATTTTATAATATTATTATTAAAAAAACTTAGTTTCCATTGGAGATATTTCAATATTCGCCAGACAGCTTGGTTGATTTAATAGTATGGTTTTAAATTATTATGGACCAAACGCTATTTTCATAAAAAGTACACGGTGGATCGTACATATTTCATAAATAAATAATCTAATGCATTGTAGTGCAGTGACTAATCGGCCGCCGACCCCACTTGTTAAGGATAAAAACGAAGAATTTATTACAGTCAATCTAAACACACCGACAATGAAAACTAGTATATAAATATTGTTTCTGTGTATCGACTGGTCGTACGGTAAATTCATTGTCTGTAAATTATAATTTAGAATAAATAATAATACTGATAGTAAGTTTTTTTTAACATTACAAGAGGGTTTTAGACACAAGAAAAAATTTAGACAATATATAAACCAATGTAAAATATGCATGTACACCAAGGTATTAAATTAATGATTTAATATTATAGAGCAGAAGAACTTTTGTATTGCTTTACATATTATGCAATATATGGGAGTATAAATATCAAAAATGTACCATACCATTTACCTCGTCGATATAGTTAACAATTTACATATTAATAGTGTTAAAAAATTTTGGTTTTTTTGGTTTACATAAAAAAGCTTGTTAAAAATCCGAAGGTCCAGTAAATTATACCTTGTTAGTTATTTGAGTTTTGATTAAAATATAAATTAATTTTTTTATTTTAATTATTATTTTCATTCTCATTTAAATACAACTTAGTAAAGTTTAAATTTTATGACAAGAGGATGGAGTTATTATTTTATTTGTGGACCCGACTCAACCGCACTAAATTTGCCGCTCAAAATTTTAAACTTAAATAACGTTTAATAACTATTCTTAATTTAGTTAATCAAATATACTATACGTCATATGTGTATAAGGACTAAGGTAGGTAGATAGGTACATATTTAGTAATTTCATAAGCAAAAAGGTTTTCAACAAGAAAAACTACAGAATTGCATTTTTTTCTGAGAAAATGAGTATCTTATTAATTAATCACTTTGTATACATCTAATTTATATCTATTTAATCATCTATCGGATTAGAATTAAACTACATAGATATTTTACGACTCCGAAATAATTTATTAAGCCATTCAGAAAAAAAAGATTAATAGGTCTCAACCATGTAGGTATACCTATATATTTTTTTGAAAAAGTATTACTTCGAAACGACTTATGAAGTAAGTAATTACTGTGAGCAACGTTAACGGTCCGTTTTGTAATAAACCTAGACAGTTTTTTTTTGTTCTTCAAACCGTTGAAGTATTGTAAATTGCCAAAATTCCTTGTATGTCTGTGTCCGGCAGAAGACCACATCGTCTTGTGGTCTAGATATTCTATAGCCCGGTACATCATGTCACACACGTTTCTGTGTGTAATTTATTTTTATTTTTCAATACCCTTTCAAGAGGGGAAAAATAGATAGGTATTATTATAGTGGAAACCGAACACAACTAAACACGACGTATTTCCACACTGCGTTTCGAAAAAGTGTGTGATTTTTTTTTTTGGTTACTCTGAAAAACAAAATCATGTTTTCTTTGAACAAAAAAATAAGTCATCAAGAGTGAAACATTGTCGTCGTAATAATATAATCTAATATTGTATCGTACACGTTAATATAATATAAAAATATATTAGAATGTACATTATATGTATGTATAATGTGATTTTGTTATTTTTCGTTTACAGAAGTAGGTATAGTATTAGATATAAATATTATAATAATGTCTATAATACATGGTGTGGGCCACGCTCACGTGCAACGCTTTGTCTTAGTTCAGCGATTGCCCTAAATAAACACCGAGCGTGGGTGGAGGGGAGGGGGTGACGGATCGCGGCGCTCTTCTTCATTTCCCTGGCTACCTTTACAGGTGCAATCAACAACGGTTTCGGCCGTGCGATTATTACAGTTGTACTGAGGTCTAAGACGCAGCCGCACAGTGTTCCAAAATCACATCAAAAAGAGCTGGCCAAAAATAATTTTTTCGGAAACTTGGTTTTGGCGATGATCTTTTTCTAGCTGAGGCCGAAACGAT